ATTAATTGAAATTTTCTAAATTTTTGAACTTCTCATGTTTTTTTTTTTTACATCTTTTATTATTAACAGAATTATTGTTATGTGGTAACAAAAGCAGGTTTTTTTCCTAAATTTATAAAATGCTCTCCATTAATTGTAAGCCTTAAACTTATCACTTTTGTTTAATTTCTATTAATTCTTTGCTTACTTATATAATTTTTCAACGTATAATTTTTTATCTTTTCTTCTACTATGAGAGAACGGAGTTGTGAAATGCGAGTCGGTGTCGCATGCACGAGTGCGTTTGCCGTTTGCAAACGTAATTATACCGATGACAGTCGGAACGAACATACGTAATCTCAGCGTGCATGTATGTATTTATTTACGTGTATGTGTACACACACATACAACGGAAATGTTGGTACAGGTGCGTGATGTTTCATGGCACCTTCGTGGAACGTTGGAATTACATTTCGTTATAATCACGTGGTGAAAACGCAAAGGTTGTTGGTCTATTCGATCTCACATCATTAATTCAATGATACTTTTGGAAACAAATACTTTTGTTATCAAAGGAATAGAATAAAATGGGACATTACTTGTTCATCAAATTTTTGTGACTTATTTTAGCATGTATCTTTTTATCTTTACATACACATTTTCTAAATGTTTTCAATCTTATTCATAATACTGAAATGTACACATAACATAATTCTTTATGAAATTCAAAGTCTTCATTGATATTATTTTGATACATTTTGAGTAAATTAATGAAACTAACATTATAAATGTGATACAGTAATGACGGAAGCGCAATGATTCCGATGGCACCCTATTTCCGTGACGATATGTAATTATCAAAGCTATAAATACTTACAATTACGTATTTAATAAAACTTAAACAAAATTTTATTTTACTTTTGTTACATTTATTGAGTTAAGCTCACTTACCATAATATGTATGATCTATAATTAGATAGAATTCGAAATATAATTCTATTTATAATTTTATGTATTAAATTATACATATACAATGATTTTCAAGCATTAATAGGTACGTTGAAAATGTAAAAAAAAAAACAGGTTTTACTAATAGCTTTTTTTGTAACCTTTCATAATTAAAAAAATGCAAATAAAATCGTAACTGATCATTTTTCCAAAATATCTCAAAATTAAATTTTCTAATATTTGTAGACCATATAAAACCATAAAATATGTTGGATCATATTATATATATAATGTGCATGTGCATGTGTGCGTTATTATATATACTTATGTACGTAACAAAGTTATACATATACAATTTTAATTAAATTAGTAAATATACTATTCTTTTTTAGTTTATCTCAGAATCAACGGCGTAGACGTGATGGTAGGATGATCTTATTTTTGTTTTATTGAAAACAATAAATAAAAGGAATATAAAACCAATGCTAAGTCTATTTTAGTATAGTTTATACAATAAGTCTTGTATTTAAAACAATTCAGTTAAATATAAAGGAATTAATCATAAATGTTTCAAAAGATGGCCAAAATTGGGCTATCTTCAGTATATTATATGTATAAAATTAAAATATAAATTAATCAAAAATAAAATCTCAAGATGATAAAATATTCATAAACAAAATTGGCATGATAAAATAAAACATTATACGGTAATAAATTAGTTTACATTGCTAGTTAAACAAAATAAATAAATGATGCTATTTAATAAAGTGTGTAACACAGAATGTTTGTTCGAATTTACAGTTATATTGCGGATTCTTTTAAGTTTGTTTCTTGTTAGTAAATATTAGTATGCTAGTATGCTAGTATAAGAGAGCTTAATATAAATAATTGTGATGCAACAAAGTGTCAATAGCTAATTAAAATGAAATTTAGAATTATTATATTGGAAAAAAGTTCATGGCGTTTTTCCCGCTAGATGGCATTAAATGCTCAGCAGTCGGCAACTAATCGCATCGGCAACACTAGACGTGCGTTTAAAAAGTGACATTTTAACCATTGTTTTGAGCCGAAAAAGATTGAAATCGGTGAAGTAGATCAAAAGTTATTTTATTTTGAAAATGGAAATAAATAAAGAAAAAATTCGCTACATTTTGCAGTATCAGTACGATAAAGGCAAGAATGCTGCACAAGCTTGTAAAAAAATTTGCGCTATTTACGATGAAGATACTCTATCAAAATCAGCAGCACGGAAATAGTTCGCTCGTTTCCATGCTGGAAATTTTGATGTGAAAGATGAACCTCGCTCCGGTCGACCAATCACTGAAAAGTCCGATGAAATCATGATAAAAGTCGAGCGTGATAAACATGTGAAGCACTATGGAGAGTGCCAGGGAACTAGGCATCGACCACAAGTTTTATGATTTAAAACAGTTTTAAATCATTTATACAAAGCTGAATACAAAAAGAAGCTCGATGTTTGGGTTCCTCACGAGTTGAGTGTTAGGAACATGATGGACCGAATTAACATTAACACGCTACTGAAACGGAATGAAGTTGAGCCATTTCTGAAGAGAATGATAACTGGTGAAAATGGAAAACGGATCACCTACGACAATCCAACTAGAAAAAGATCGTGGATAAAGAAAGGAGAGAAGGCGCAAGCAATCGCAAAACCTGGATTGACGAGGAAGAAGGTGATGTGTGTGTGTGTGTGTGTGTGTGTGTGTGTGTGTGTGATGGGTAGGGAATCGTTCATCATGAGCTGTTATCGTCCAATCAAACAATTAATTCCGAATTCTATGAACAACTGCAGAGATTATAACAAGCAATTGAGAGGAAGCGGCCAGAATTAATCAATAGGAGAGGTCGTCTTCCACGACAACGCTCGATCACACACATCTTTGACTCGGCAAAAATTGCGAGAGATTGGCTGGGAAGTTTTAATGCATCCACATATAGTCCTGACACCCTCAGACTATCATTTGTTTAGGTCTCTGCAGCTCTCTTAATGATGTAAAGCTAGCTTCAAAAGAGGCCTGTGAAAATCATTTGAAGCAGTTTTTCGATGAGAAACTACAGAAGTTCTATCGCGATGGAATTATGGCTCTGCCCCAAAAATCGCAAAATATTATAAAAAATAATGGAGTATATTTGATTTAAATAAATTGATTTCAATACTCTAAGAAAAATACTTTAATTTTACTTAAAAATCGCCACGAACTTTTTCCCATATGTTAATTATTTTAATATTTTCTTTTCCCAATATATTAATTATTTTAATATTATTAACCCGTATTTAGCATAATAGGACATTCAGTACACTTTATATTCTTCACCAATAACAAGACGTCTTATAGGAGATGGAAAATATCTCTAAAGGAGTGTGTATGTTTATCTGAACCGTAAAGTATTTATTAAAATAAGAAAGAGTGAGATGAAAGAGTTAAATGAGCTAAGAGGGGATATCATTGGAGTATCGAAAGATAAATGTCAAGTAATCGTTTCGTGTCGCTTCATTTGTTTAATTCAAACTTTTTTTTGATATACATATATCATTTCCGATATCATGTGTTTATGAAAAGATAATTCCGAATTCATAATATGAACATTATCCCAGTCTAATCTGTGATTATTTTCTAACTGATGATAACAGGAAATCACGGAAAACAAGTAGATTTTTAAATATTAACTATGCGTGCTCTTTCATTCGGATTTTAAGTTTCCTCTTAATTTGACCAACATATGAGAATCACAATCTAAGCAATTTATTTTATATTCTATTTCACATTGATTCATAATATCTAGTCGATCTTTTCCTGTTTTTCAGAGGGAGTTCATAGGTTTATAAGTCGTGTTAAAGTCAAATTTGTTCTGAATTTTTTCGAAATGTCTTTTAGGAACAGTAAAAAATTTTTTTGTGTCAAATTCAATATCGTTATTGTGTCCATTATTATACTTAGATTTTTTGATAATATGTGTGGGGCTACCCTACAATAACCTTAATTTTGATATATTGTATGTTGTCCAGGTTATATCCTTAAATGATCGTGAATAAATCCGTCACTTGTTATTCGTTAAAAAGTTATTAATAAAAAAGTATCATAAATATTATATTATTTTTTTGATATCATATAGCTTTATATATCACATAGCCTTTGAACATCGTGCTGAATTTTATCGTGCAGTATTTATATATTACACAACAAAAGTTACCAAGTAAATTGTAAATGGTTTTAAGAAATATTTTAAGAAACAATACGCTTCATAAAATTTATATTTTAATACAGATTAGTTACCGTCGTTTTATTACATTTTGGTACATATAACTTCCAGGAATTATCAAGATTTCTAAATTAATTTTTGTATAGAATTAAAAACTGCACTATCAAAGATATGTACATATGTACATATTTCTATTTTCGTCTTCGAATCCAATTTTGGAGTCAGTAAACGGTCTCGTAATGCTGTGCTCTTCTATTCTGCGCGATTTTTTAATTACGAGCATTTAAATTCTCACATCTATCTGTTGTTGCCGTGTTTTGTTCGCTAATGAGCTTTAGTGGTGTTTAACAAAAAATAAGAACATTATCAGACATTGCTTATTAATTACTATACTGCTTGGTAAAATTATTATGAGTTACTAAATTGCAGATTAAAAATATCATGTCATATTGTAAAATTTATATAAGATAATTTATATA